TATCTTATACGGCTCGGTCAAAATAATTTTGTGATTTATTTAGATTAAATGAAAAGTCTGTATTTGCTTAGGAAAATATGTGAAAAATTGGTATTTCATGACCATTTTCTTCAAATTAATATATATTACAATACTAATATTCATGTAAATTTGATCTCGAACCTCCAAAATCACCAAAAATGTACTATAATGGATAACATGATTATTGAGGATAAACGAGATGTCAACGACTAGAGATGCAAGGCCAACACCATAAACATACGTTGAAATGACGATAAATGAAGATATGCGGTTTCAACAATTTTTATCACGTGATCTAGAGATAAAAGATAAGGAAGCTCACTTGTCACTAAGAAATGAGTTGATTGATCATATATGGGAGCATTACAGAAATAATTCTATTGATTAGTTTTGTATTGTATATGTATCTTTTTTATGGAATGTATGCCATATTATAATCTATAATTTTATGTTCTTATTGTTATTATAAGTAATTTGGTGTTATTGTTTATTTATGAGAGTATGTTTATTGATTATCTATTTAAAATATATGTTTATTTATTTTTTATAAGAGTTTAGTAATTATAATTAATTATTAAAAATATTGAAGATTAAAGTATAATAAATAAAGTTTGTAGAGAAAATATTTAAGGACTTCCACTGTAAAACCACCCCCATATCTTTTTATTTTGAGTAGATCTCTCCTTTAAAATAAGGTGGCTGTTGGAGAAGTTCTAGTATGAAGTTATTTTCTTTGTTAACACTTATTAAATGAAGTTATTTTTGGGTTAATCCCTAGGGGAATCTCTAGGTTCACCAACTAATAGAGTTGTGTTATTATATATTTAGTATATTTTAAAAAGTAAGCAAAATATTTTCAAATTATATTATGTTTTTAAAATAAGAAGAAAAATGGTAATAATTGCAAAAAGGAATTATTTTTAAAAAAATTTAAACACCGTCAGCAAAATACTAAATTCTAAATCCTAAACCTTTGGTAAACCATAAATCCGTAGGTAAATCATAAACCTTCAGATAAATCTTAAACACTAAACACTAAATTTTAAAAACACTAAACCCTAATCCTAACCCCTAAACACTTGGATAAAAATAAATTAAAATTAAAATCTATTTTAACGCTTAGCAAAACATAAACCCTAAATTCTAAACACTAAATCAAACACTAAATTCTAAACCTTTGGATAAACATAAATACAAGAATTTACAATTTATTCAAGGTTTTAGGGGTTATAATTAAAGATTAGTGTTTTTAAGATTTAGTGTTTAGTGTTTTTAATTTAAGATTTATCTAGAGGCATATAGTTTAGGATTTAGTGTTTTGCTGACGGCATTAAAAATATTAAAATATATATATATATTCTTTACAATTATTACTATTTTTTATTTATTTTTATCTTTCTATTTTAAAAATATAATATAGTTTGACTATATTTTGTTTTCTTTTTAAAAATATACTAAATCTATACTATTATTTGCGAAGTGATTTTTCGCAACGAAGCTCTCACGTTAAAAGTTGGAGCGGTTAATATCGTTTATACCCTTAATGAATAATTAAAAATTTAATTAAACATAAATAAAAAACGAATTTCAATTGATTTTAGATTTATCTTTATCTAAAATTATTTTATATTGGGTTATAAGGTCTTTATTAACGTTGAAAAATAATTATATTTGTTAATATATATTAATTATAAATTAAAAACGAATTTCATTTATTTGATAATTATCCTTATTTAAAAAAATTATATTATGTTTATCAACTTTTAAAAATAATTATATTTGTTAATATATAATTAATTCTAAATTAAAAACGAATTTCATGAATTTGATCTTTATCTAAAACTATTTTATATTGGGTTATAAGGTCTTTATTAACCTTGAAAAATAATTATATTTGTTAATATATATTTAATTATAAATTAAAAACGAATTTCATTTATTTGATAATTATCCTTATTTAAAAAAATTATATTATGTTTATCAACCTTGAAAAATAATTATATTTGTTAATATATAATTAATTCTAAATTAAAAACGAATTTCATGAATTTGATAATTATCCTTATCTAACTTTTTATATTATGTTATAAAGTCTTTATTAACCTTGAAAAATAATTATATTTGTTAATATATATTTAATTACGAAAAACAATTTGCAAATAATATATGTATAGATAATTTATATTGTGTTATCCAAAACATTACTAAAGTTAATTTTATCATACTTCTTTTTGTTATGTCTAGAAAACATATTAATTTATTACTAAATATTTTAAATTTATGAGAATTTCACATTTAATTTGTGCAATGATATTTATTTATATGATGATGAAACATTTTATATATAGAAAGAATCTATTTACATTATTATTAAATTTTTTGAGTGTATGCACAATAATTTATTATAATTTACTTAAATTAATTATATATTTGTTTATAGATATTAGTAAAATTATTAAGTCCGCATGTGCGGGCAAACACCTAGTATATAATAATATAATTCTATTGGTTCACCCTAATATGAATCCAATTATAAATCAACCCAATAATAAGTCTATTGAATGGGCTTAGTTAATTTGGTTTAGTTCCATTTGCTTTTTATTGAATTTCATGAATGTGTGAGATCCCTTTTGCTTGCTTGGACCACAGATCCTACAACAGAAAATGTAAATAGACGATGACTCCAACCTTTACACATAATATGGTGACAAAAATATGACCAGTAGAGAATATATGCAGTAGATTCGATACTAAGCTGGAATAGTAGAACAAAATCAACATTCATAGACGCACATGTATACTGTATGGTAATTATTTTGAAGTTTATATGGACCAGAGTATTTGAGGTGACACATGGCATAGATTCATATTCTTTGTTTGGGAAGACAATGAACTCATCTTTGCATTCGATGTCATCATATGAACAAAATCTGCAGATTCGATGTAGTCTCAGACCAATAAAATGTCATCATCATCATCATAAGTTTTCCCTATATAAAACCCCCACAACTCTTCACCTTGTTATAAGAATCAACCAATGGTATATCATATGAACTGAAAACTCGTCACCATATCACCATGTTCGAATGTACGCATTATTTCTCTACGGTTCAAACTTTCCTTATATATATATATATATATATCTTATGAAATCTATAACACTTTTTGCAATTTTCGAAAACAGTATTCAAACCCTCTCTTCATGATTTATATGCGTATTTGAATTTGCACGCTAAACACTTCTCTGCATTGTTAGGTCTTCACTCTTCAGGATACAGCAAGTTGCATGAAACAATTTTTTTAATATGATAAAAATATATTTTACGTGACTAGTATTTAAAATAGAGGATAAAGGCCTAAATAGGGATATAAAAATCTGGGTCCATCGGTCCTACCCAAGCCAATGGTCAACAAAATGAAGTCAACGAAGTAGAAGAACGTGAGAAGCGAGATTCTCGACAGCTTGTAGATGAAGGTTAGTCTTTCACCTTTGTCGTTATCTTATTTTATTCCAGGCTCAAGTCGGGTAGCTCTTATCCTGGTCAGGTATACCACATCCAACAACAATCTACATTATATTTAATATTAGCATTTATCTATAGAATAAATATTTTAAAACTATGCCGTCTTATTATATCTACTATATATACTATACTCACTATACATACTAATACTACACGAAATGTTCTAATTAATTGATATGTAGATTATCATAATTATGCAAATTAAAAAAGGAAAAATGAGAAGATTTTTCGAAACTTAACGGCTGGCCTACTATTGGGTATAAAACAACTCGAAATATAAAAAAAGAAGAAGCCAAAGATAATGTACCAACGATCTTATTTTAAGCTTAAGTGTGTATTGACAGGTGGTGGAACAAATATGAGTTTTTGAGTATTAGTCAAACAAAATTAAACTCGTATTAGTTCTACCTCCTGCTGAAGCCCACATTAATCTGAATAAGATTTACTCACATCACACACACACACGGGAATATTCATATATTCCAATGTGTTACATATAAACGTAAGCACATTAGCATCAACCCATGAATATTCAAGCTCAATTTTTAACTGGCTTATGTAAAACTTCACATCTAAATATATTACTAGATATATTTGATCATGTACTAACATCTTAGAAAAGGTAACAACAAACCTATATGTATGAGTATAATTGTAGTAACATATTTTCTAAAAGTATAGCTTTCTTTTGATAATCCAGCATGGAAATTAGGATTTTAGTTTCTTCACATATCCAATATATCTGAACATATGTCAACTTCTTAAGAACCGTACACAAAGTACAGACATTTTCAGAATACAAACATCCAGTTTAAAGCTGGAACTAGTATCAATTACTTTTCTTGGAACTTATCAATAAGTTAAAACATGAAAAGCAGATACATTCGGATATATAACCAGCGACACGTGAACCTCCATTGAGATGTGCTAATACGTGACGTTGGAAGCTTTCAGATTAGATTTAAATGCTTATTGATTGTTTAATGAGCATTCCAACTCTTGCACGTCACCGTTTGATAATAGTAGCAATTTACGGGTCCCACTTAACCCCTCTTGAACGGTCCAGATTGAGTCTACGATCCGCCACGACGATCTCGCCCATTTCCACGTCAGATTAAGGCAGATGCCTTCTTTGTTAATGTTAAAGATCAAATAGATAGATAGGTACGGTCGATGCACGTTATCTGGGACCCGCAAAAGGGTACAGACCTAATTTAGGTAACTTGTTTAGTAATCATCTGCTCCTGATCCTACGATTAGAACCGCCACTAAGCCTCTCATATGCCGCCACGTTGTTTACTAACACTGTAAACGAATCTCCGACTCGAAACTTCAGCCAGCGATCGTTTCCGTACTAAATTAAATGGTAGGGGTGTTTCAGTCATTTACTTAATCCTCTTTCTTCCTTTTTATAAAATGACATCGGAAAAAAAAGATTGAAACACGAGAGGTTCGGTTTTGTGTTCCCCACCGGAAAATACGAAGGTGTGAATGATCGGAGTGATGAACCGGAAATCAAAAACCCGTAACCGAATTCGGATCCAACCGGTTTACCACTCTCTACTCTATCTCCGAGCCGTCTTCCTCTTCATTCCGACTTAAAAAAAAGATTTTTAAGTTTTTCATCGAGAAAGATCCGTACTTGTCTGAATCCAAACCAAACCAACGAAACACATTATTTTCTGTTTTTGTTTGTTTCTTTTTTTTTTGCTCTGTTGCAAATGTCGCTGTCTATTTTATCCGCTTTGTCGGAAGATCTTCTTGTTCGCGTCTACGAGTGTCTAGACCCGCCGTGTCGGAAAACATGGCGACTCGTCAGCAAAGAGTTCCACCGAGTCGACTCGCTGAGTCGAACATCGATCAGAATCCTCCGCGTCGAGTTCCTCCATACGCTTCTCTCCAAGTACCCTAACATCTCCACCCTAGACCTCTCCGTGTGCCCCAAACTCGACGACGACGTCGTTTCACGCCTAGCACTCGACGACACCGTTTCGACGTCACGCTTAAAATCACTCAACCTGAGCCGAGCCACCGCGGTTCGAGCCAGGGGACTGGAGACGCTGGCTCGTTTGTGCCACGCTCTGGAGCGAGTCGACGTGTCTCACTGCTGGGGCTTCGGAGACAGGGAAGCGGCGGCGCTTTCCGTAGCGGCGGGGATTAGGGAGCTGAAGATGGACAAATGCTTGAGCTTAAGCGACGTCGGATTGGCGAGGATTGTCCTCGGGTGTAGTAATCTGAATAAGATTAGTTTGAAATGGTGTATGGAGATATCGGATCTTGGCATTGATCTTCTCTGTAAGAAATGTAAAGACTTGACATCTCTCGATGTCTCGTATCTTAAGGTTCGTCTCAAAGCTTCTCTCTTTACTCTGTTTTAGGTATTTGAATGGCATAAAGTTGAAAACTTTTTGATTGGTTTCGGAAGTTTAATGGAAATGAGTGTAAAGTTTCTATCTTGGTTGTGATTTGTTGATATCAGATCACGAATGATTCAATTCGATCCATAGCTTTGTTACCAAAGCTCGAGGTTTTGGATATGGTAAGCTGCCCATTGATAGATGATGATGGGTTACAGTATCTTGAGAATGGTTCTCCTTCACTACAGGTACTACTTTGACTTCACAAATAAAGCCTTTTTAATCAGTACTAAACAATGTTCTAAAATCGGTTCTAAATGAAACGATTTTGTTTTTTTATGTTCCAAAAAAAAAAAACTATGTTTTCGAGTGTTTTTTTTTGTAAAATTAAAAATCACTCAAAAAATAATCTCATATAAAGCGCTAGCGATTTTGAGTTTTGGTTTTAAGATTCTTTATTAACTGGTAAGAACTATAAACAGGAAATTGATGTCACAAGGTGTGATCGCGTGACTTTGTCCAGCTTGGTCTCCATAATCAGAGGCCATCCTGAGCTTCAACACCTTAAGGCCAGTCACTGTGTATCCGTAAGCTCACAATCCATGCCTTAACTTAAGACTAATTGTTCAAAAAAGTAATTTTAATGATTTTTGATTCACAGGAAATATCTGTGAGCTTCTTACAGAACATCAAAGCTTTGAAGCATCTCAAGACTCTATGGATCGATGGAGCTCGCGTCTCTGACTCGTCTCTTTTAACCTTAACCTCTAGCTGTAGAGCCTTAACAGATATTGGAGTGAGCAGATGTGTAGATGTGAGTGACATTGGGATGATGGGACTTGCACGCAACTGCTCCAATCTGAAAGCTCTTAACCTGGCGTGCTGCGGATTTGTGACTGATGCAGCCATATCTGCTGTAACTCAGTCTTGTCTGAACTTGGAGAGTTTACAGTTAGAGTCTTGTCATTTGATAACAGAAAAAGGTCTTCAATCGCTCGGATGTTATTCCAAGCGTCTTCAAGAACTTGATCTTACTGACTGTGATGGCGTGAATGATAGAGGTAAAGAGAAGATACATGTGAACTCAAACTCCAAATTTGTGTTCTTTGATCTTACAAGTTGTGGTTTCGTACTCTCTTTTTTGGCTGCAGGGCTTGAGTATATCTCAAAATGTTCGAATCTTCTAAGATTGAAACTTGGTCTCTGCGCAAATATCTCAGACAAAGGAGTTTTTCATATCGGCTCCAAATGTTCGAAGCTTCTAGAACTTGATCTATACCGGTAACGTTCCTTCTCAGACAAAAGCAATGTTCGAATAAAAAAAAATGGATTAGAGGACTAGCCATTAGGTAGATAATTCGGGGCATATGTGGGTCTACTCGTTGACGAATTACTGATTTATTTTTATATCTTTTACATTTATATTAGCTATTTTAGTTTTTAGATTTTTATATAATTATTTTGATGAATTATAAAATCTAAAGAGATTAAAAAAAAAATTAGACAAATTTATGGATTAAAAAAACATTATTGCTTGATTTAAGATTTAGACCAATTTAGATTGATTTAAACAGATTTAAATTGTTTTAACCTTAAAACGGATTTGAGTCGCATAAAACAAGTTTGTAAAATGTTGCTGTGGCTATGGACGATTTGCCGCCTAGAATGATTTTTAGAACTATAACTCAAAATGTTTTAGTTTTTTTTTTTTTTTTTCCAAAATGTTTTAGTTCATGTTTGGGTTTCTTATCGATTCTGATTTTTGAGTGCAGCTGTGCTGGTTTTGGAGATGATGGTTTAGCAGCTTTATCACGAGGTTGCAAGAGCTTGAACCGGCTCATTTTATCATACTGTGGTGAACTAACAGACACAGGGGTTGAACAAATCCGTCAGCTAGAACATCTAAGTCACCTTGAACTTCGCGGGCTAAAGAATATAACTGGTGCCGGACTAGCTGCAATTGCGCGCGGCTGCAAGAAGCTGGTTTACTTGGACCTCAAACTATGTGAGAATATCGATGACTCAGGCTTCTGGGCGCTTGCGTACTTCTCAAGAAACCTAAGACAGGTAAAAAGGAAAAGCATTTGGTGTGCTAAACTGATCCGTTTGGTTAATAGAAACATGTTTGATTCTTTGTGTTGTGTGTTTGGCAGATAAATTTGTGCAATTGTTCTGTCTCTGATACGGCTCTGTGCATGTTGATGAGCAATCTGAGTCGAGTTCAAGACGTTGACTTAGTCCACTTGAACCGTGTGACTGTGGAAGGGTTTGAGTTTGCTCTAAGAGCATGTTGCAACAGGCTCAAGAAGCTTAAACTTCTCGCACCACTCAGATTCTTGCTCTCATCTGAGTTGCTCGAGGTGCTTCATGCTCGTGGTTGCCGGATTAGATGGGACTGAAGGCAAAAAAAAACATACGATCGTTTCTTGCTTTGGTAGACTGTTCTGGTCGTTAAAATTAATGGAACTTGGCTAGTAACATTTTAATGTGAATCCACCATATCTGTAGTTATCTACTGCTTTTGTCTTATCTTACAATATTGGTTGTGTGGAGGCACTCACTTTTCAGAAGTTAAATCATCTTAAATGTTTTGATGATAGGATTTTGTTTTTTTTTGAGTTGAAATAAGATTTGTCGTGCAAGGCTCGCAATGTCCATAGATAATAAGTGATCAAGAGTTTGAGTTATTTTCACTTAAAGGCAAGTTTTTTACTACATTAGAGGGTAGTTATTGTTGCTAAGGTAGTTTTTAAAACTACAACCTAACTATAGAATAACTATGTGGATTTCTGTAAGTAAATAAATTTTACATCTATTAAATTTTTCTCTTTCTTTGTAACATAAAACAACTTTTCTTTTTCTATTATAATAGTTTTAATTGTTAAAGAGGATGAAGATAAAGAATATGGGCGTTCGTCACTTGAACATAAGACCATACATGTGTAAAACATCTCATCTTCTCTTACTTCACTAAATCTCAGATCTGTTGTAGTCTACTTTGTCATTTCTTCTGATACGTTGATTCCCATCATTTCTTCTTTTGCATTTTTGATCTGTTTTTTTTCTTGATTTTGGATTATAATATGTTAATCTATATAATATTAGTAAGTTCTAGAGATAAAATGCAAAAACAATAAAAATTGTATGATAAAAATCAATGGCCACTATGTGTTATATTTGTAGAAAACGCAAAAAAACCCTACTAGGAAGAAGATGAACTTATTACAAAATTTCCATTCGTTAAAAAAAATAATTAGATGACCACGTGGATGTGTACATAATGTTAGTGTACACATGTTCGTGTACACGGGTACATTGGATGACCACGTGAATGTGTACATAATGTTGGTGTACACATGTACATGTTAAAAAGATAAATTTGGCTTTATAGATATAAAAACAAAAAAACATGGTTTACGTGAATTAAAAAAACATGATTATATATGTACATGTGTACATGATTACATGGTGGACATAAGTTTTTAGCAAACATTTGTGCCTAATATTTAGTTTTCATTTTCCAATTATCTCAATGATGTAATATACAAATATTATCAATTTAAATGCTAAGAAAGAAAAATATATATGGGAAATGAGTTTTATGTTATTCAATATACGTTCACTTTATCACTTCTTATTAAATTTGTAGCTTAGTCTCTGTGGATAATACATTATGTGTACACTTTGATAATTTTTGCATATTTATGTGTTCTAACATATGTGATACACAGATGTGTATATGTTTCTTTCACATACATGAGCATGTTTAACGTGTACGCCTAACTAAGCAGAATGTGACTAGTAAATGCGTACATGGGGATATGTTTTAGGAGTGTACATGTGTACGCCTAAATTTCAATCAAGAAAAAGAATGTATAACGTGTGGTGAAATATGTGATAAGTGAATTTATGGCTCTATATTATTCAAATATATACATGTTAAAGCTTGTTTCCTCGATTATAATGAATGTGCACAGACTACAATGTAGAACTGAATTAAGCCGGATGTAAAAATTAATATGTACATGTGTACACATCATCAACCTCATAAGAGAGTCATCATAGAGCACGAGTATGTCAAATTCTTCATCTCTGATCTCAACTCCGGGAAAGACGAAGACATATTTACTAAAATTCTCCTCACTAAAAAGTTGAAAATAATGTGTACACATAGGTAATAACATGTACACACTGTTTAACAAAAATGCGTACCAAATTTCTTAACAAGATATGTACACATTCATAGGTGTACACATGGATAATAACATATATGTACATTATTATATATGGTATTGTACAACTAGTAGTGATGGAAGCATGTTCCATATATAACAGAAACAAAAATCTTTATATAATAATTTCAGATTCATACACTCTCCAGTAATATCCACATATGTACATACTCCACGATATAGCTTGTACAAGAATTGAAATGATGTAACATAAGACATATTATAATATGACCAAATACATTTGGTGTTTCAAAATTATTGTAATTTTGTTTTACTGTGATTTTGTTAGGAATTGTGGTGGTTTGCTTATATCTAAAGAACACATGTATTGTACACAAGTATATTTTGAAATTGATGTACATATGTCCACTATGAAATAGACATACGTGTACAGTATGAGCACTTAAATGTTACTATTGCATCTCAATTAGTTAATTTTAGATTATTTAAGTAACATTTAACTGTTAGTATTGTATTTGCATAAATAATTGCATAACCAGGGTCTAGAATGCATATATGTGTACATATTTATGTGTATATGTGAAAAAGTATATGTGTACATGTTTATATGTGTTTTTGTGCATATTTTCACTTGTGTAATGTATATCATTTAAGAAATGTACCGTACACATGTGAAGATGTATACATACATACATATAGTTGTACACATGTAATTTTTTTTTTTTTGCTTTAATAATAATTAGTGTACGCATGTCATGAGTGTACATTTTTTAATAATAAATAGTGTATACATATGAAGATGTACATATGTACACATATAATTTTACACATGTACACATATAATTGTACACCATTTTTTAAATGAATGATAATTTTGTAATTAAATCATCTTTTTCCTATTAGGGCATTCAGCGTTTCTGCAACTAAATCCCATAGCCGCCTTTGATTTTCTTCATTCAATCTTCATTTTTGAGTTTTTATCTCTAGAACTTGAAACTATGATAGTAATTAACCAATTAGATCCAAAAACCAAGTGAAAAACAAGTTTATTCATAATTTTTTAATTTTGACATATTATAACAAAAAAACCATGTTTTTTTTTCCAGCATCAATCCATTTGTTTTTGAGCATGACGACTTGGACGCGAGTGCTGCATCTATCTGAGCCTTTTGAGAAGAAGAAGAGTTCATTTCAACGGCGGAGATAGGTTCTGGGTTTAGTCGTCATCTTTATCTCCATATCTTAATCATTGGTGAGTAAATAAGACAATGACTACTTTTTTTTTTGGTTTTGAGTTTCAAAAGTTCTTGAATTTTTTTAAGAAAGTAAACTAGTAATTTTTTTTCTAGTTATGCTTAGTTAGAAAAAGAAGATAGAGAGTTAGAGAAAACTATCCTAGTAGCAATAACTGCCTTATTATGTTACTAAAAACTTAAAACTGTCTTTCTATGTAAATCTTTCGAGTTTTATAGCCATCTATCTATCTATCTATCTATCTATCTATCTATCTATCTATCTATCTATCTATCTATCTATCTATCTATCTATCTATCTATCTATCTATCTATCTATCTATCTATCTATCTATCTATCTATCTATCTATCTATCTATCTATCTATCTATCTATCTATCTATCTATCTATCTATCTATCTATCTATCTATCTATCTA